TAGTAGCAGGTGCAGTTTCAGTGCAACTTTTAAGCTAAAAAGAAGGATGTAAAGGAATTAGTAGAAGTTTTCGCATAGCCACGTAAGAGAGGAGGGTCTGACAAGAACATTAATCCACTGCTGCTATCACAGTTCGAAAATGAGCAGGAAAAGGCATCGTATTAGCCGACCTCTCAAAAATATCTTGCGAATACACTTCTTTGTCTGCAAAAATAGCATCGTCATAGTACGAGAGTAAATAAATGCTATTGACTTCTTTTTTTGCTTCCTAATTCAAATAGGCAACATCAGTCGTAGATCATGATCAGTTTATACAACATCAGCACCTTTTTACAATCAGCATAACCTCTCCTTTTGTCGTGGACGCAATGAACCAGACGCTAATCCCTTAATATTTCGCTTTTGCTGTTCAGGTCTCCTTGTTGGTCTTTCCCAAAGTTATTATTGACAGATAGAGCCGACTGCTGAGTACATGTGCGAATGGGATGGCTGCGCAGCACTGTTCGTCACTGCTTCTTCAGTCCTCTCGCATGTCGCAAAAGAACATGTTGTCGATGATGGTGAGCAGGCATGTCAGTGGCCGGGATGTGACGGAACACTAAGAAGCAGGTTGCTTTTTGTCAGCTTTATTTTTTTTTCAAAACTGAGCATTGTATTACCGTTTCAGATGGTCCTTGGTAACTCACATCCAAGACCATCATGCGAACGAAACAGCACTCAAGATGGCTCTACAACGAAGAAGGTTTGAGATATTAGAACCTCACTTGACGTTTCCATTTCTATTTTTCCTTTCACAGGGATGGGCTAGCTCCTGCGCAACCTATCCGGTACAAGCAAGAACTTCCGCGAGAAGTACCCCATCATCCTGGATACAGCAAGCATGCAGCCATCGAGGCCATAAGAAGACACGCATTCAACTTTTTGCCCAGAGATATCACGGTATTATTGTCTATGTTAATCATTCTATTCATCTATAACTTCCCTAAATTTTTGCGAGGCTAACTTTCTAGGATGAGCCTGAAGGACCGGTTACAAAAAGTATTCGGCTGACTAGTTGTCTGATTTTGAGAAATTTAGCTCGATATTCAGCTACTGGAAGACAGTAAGTGTTTTGGAAACGGCTGTCTTGCATACTTTCCTTAGTTTCATTTTTTT